ACCATGATTAGCACTAAATACATACCAGTACAGCTGAGGCAGATTTTAATGGCTATAAATCCAAGTATGAGACTGATGTTTTGTGGCATAAATGGTGTGTCACCAGTGAAATTATGTTATTAATAAGTTGAAGACTAAGCACTTTGGTCTGGCTCACTGACACACAAAACAAGAAAACCCACATAATTCTGCTTTGTGTAAAGATTAGCATTAACATAAAAAGGTGACTAATTAAAAAATAATAATTAAAGTGTGTGACTTTCTTCTTCGCTCTGTTTTGCTCAGCTCCACAGAAGATACAGAAAACGAACAAGAAGTGAAATAAAACAAAGAAAAATAAAACAAGTTATAACCAGCTTAGAGGTTAGAACAGCTGTGTGTGTTTCCCAGAAGCAAATGTTGCTCTTGGGACGGATCGACTTTGTGTGTGTGTGTGCGCACACGCCTCGGTCCCACAATGCATAAACCCTATTAGTTTTGGAAGTGTGCAACAGTTTTTACGGGTCTTTATGTGGAGAGGAAATGTTTGGGTGTCTGACGATATAAGAAGATCTGGGTGGAGGAAAGAGAGAGAAAGACAAATAACGAAAGAAAGAAAGAAAGAAACATCACACACTCATGTCACATGCAGAATGCCTTTTTTCCAGCTATTTGGTAAAAGAAAAAGACTAGAAATAAAGTATGATGGGAGAAACGGCATCCATTGACGCCTTCATACACATTCCCCCTCTATGTGTTTGTCACACATACATCATAAGGCACATACCCTCGTAGACCTACATATACATTCAGGGTGTGGTGGAGCTGCTGTCTTCTCCAGTCTGTGAAAATGACTGTAAGGCTGTCAGCAAGTCGTCACACACACACACACTACTTTATGAGCTGCTGTGTGGGAGAGAATATGTGATATGGAAGCACACATACACACACAAACACAACAGCAGTCGGCTCTGTTGGATACCAGTTAAGGGAAAAAACAAAAAGGGGAGAAAGAGATGCTGTGTGTCTGTCTAGTGTTTCTGTCTCCACTGAGTTTCATGTAATAGATAATACTGTTTAATTGTTAGTCATTATTAAGCCTAAAAACTTCCACCTGCTTCAGTCCAAATACAGTCTAAGACGAAGAAGATTTTAAGCTTTTTGACTTTACAAATGATTCCTTATTCCACTTTCCAGCTAACCTTCTTCAGTTGATTCTCCAGTTTGATGCACTCCTCTCTCTTCTGCTCGAGGCTGATTTCCAGACTTTTCAGCCTGTTGTCCTTCTTCAGAGTCGAGGAGGCTAAAGAAGAAGCCTTCTCCTTCAGATCCAACACTGACGTCTGGATAGAAAAAAAAGAAGTATAAAAAAAAAAGTGTAAGAGAGTCAGACACAGACTGACAGCAAAGAAGATAATAGCACAGCTTCACTGGGGTCAATCTGCCTGGATCCACTGTCTCGTTACTAACGCCGCTTAAAGGATAATTGTGGTTTATTACAACTCTGGTTTTATTTGTTTCTCATTTCCTATTGCAGGGGTGTCCAGTCCTGGTCCTCGAGGGCCACAATCCTGCATGTTTCCCTCTTCCAACACACCTGATTCAAATGATCAGGATCGTTATCAGGCTTCTGCAGAGCTTGATGATGAGCTGATCATCTGAATCAGATGTGTTGGAAGAGAGAAACATGCAGGGTTGTGGCCCTCCAGGACCAGGACTGGACACCCCTGTCCTATTGTATGATTATAACAGGGTATTTGCCATAAGCCTCTTTACCACTTTGGTATGAGGTATGAACAAAAAAAAGGTTTACCTTACAAATACAATGCTATTACTACAGATAGGAATTCTTATCAATCATATATAATAAAACCAAGTTGCCAATCACCCAGAATTATCCTTTCAGGTGTTCCTCCAGAGCTCATGAGAGACTCTTCCTTAGTCATCATAATGTTTCCCCCTGACCTGCCTCTGTTCTCAGGCTCAATCCCTCCACCCGTGAAGTCTCGCTCTCCCTTTCTTTTCTGGTCTTTTCCTCTTTTGGTAGGGGCAGTGAAACAGAAACCAGCGAGACCAGAAGGAGAGACACTCAGACGTGTAATTTTACCCTTGACTGACAATACCAACTCCAGACTACGGTTCATCATGTTTGACTGGGCTTCGGTCGGAGGAACCTTGCTGCTTACTCGGATTATATTTAGGCACGCGTATACACTACTGTTGTTAGACAAACCTCACATCTGCGTTTAGCACTGTACAGAGGAATGCTTGTTTTCTCAGGGAGTTTTCCCATGTATTCCTCAAATTATAAAACAGGACTGTAACAGGTTTTATGAGCCAACAATCTCTAAAATTAGATGAAAGGCTGAAGTCAGAAAAAGCGCAAAGGACTGTTCACAACAACAGCAGCATAATGACCCCTTTGAAGAAACAGCTCTTGTTGACATATTGATGAGAAGATCAATGCGACTCTCGTACTATAAGCGGTGCACAACGTCAGTACAGACATTATTACGTCACACACAAGTGAAAATGTGAAAACATCAATTTGTGGTGTTACATATATATTTATAAGTGTGTCCACATATGAGAGTTTTGTCAGTCATTTGTTCAAGCACAACTAAAGACAAACCAAGAAGTGTGCACTGAATGTTTGTGTGTGTCCTTACATGAAATTTGCGAGTCTTTAGAAGTATATTCTGAAATGCATTTGTGGCAAGAATTTATACAATTTAAAAAAAAAAAGAAGTCATAGACAGGAAGTGTACAACCAGGGAGAATCATCAGAACTGATAACATGTCGTGTCTGAAAATTTAACCAAATATAAGCCTAAAAATGTCAGAAAAGTGTCAGGACTGGTGTCACAAAAGATATAATTCAAATCCAAACTATAAACTAAGTTTTCTACTTCGAAGTCATCCCCCTGGAGTCTAACACACTTCCCCAGCCTTCTCTGCCGCCATGCACTCCTGGAAGGATTATTCCAGGATCCTCCTCAGCTCCGTCGTCACAGCCATCTTGATGTCGTCCACGTCTTCAAAACAGGTCCCCTTGATGACCCCCTTGAGCTTGGGGAAGACAAAAAAAATCCCACGGAGCCAGGTGGGGTGAGTAGGGAGGTTGCTCCAGCACGGAGATGTTCTTCTCAGCCAGGAACTGTGGGATGCTCCGGGCATTGTGAGCAGGCCCGTTGTCATGGTGAAGCAGCCACGACTTGTCCTGCCACAACTCTCGCCTCTTTTTGAATGAAGCAAACGCTGCAGGATCTCTTTGTAGTTTGGGTTTGAAATATATCTTTTGTGACACCAGTCTTGGAGCTTTTTCCTGACAGACTCCGTAGGAACAAATTCATACTGCAAGTAATAAAATATCTAAAGCTTGTAAAGTCAACATTTTCTATCCAGTAGTGGTAGCACTGGGAGAAGTGTTGTACATGTTGATTCTAGATTGTTTAACTTTTTTTTTTCTTTACTTTATCATTTATGGCATTATATCTTTATTATATGGCAGAAGACGTATGTAGGTTCTTTCTGCTTCTAGCCGTGGTTGTGCTGCTTCCAAAGAGGTGCAGGACTTTATATTGGAGTGGAAAGTAAAAATGTGACAGGAGTTCAAAGGGTTAAAAATAACTGGTCAGTTAGTCTTATGGTTTAACGCCAGATTAGAGACATCTGAAAGTTCAGTTGTAGATTAGTTTAGAGTGTTTAGAGATTCATAATGGTGCCAAACCCTGCCCTAATAGAAATGGTGCCATTTTGGTGATTGTTGTGGTTCTGATTTGACGTCTGGATCTTTTATTTCTACACTTTGTTTTTTTTTTATGGGATGGGCATTATTACAAAAAGCAGAACTGGGCTTGCACCTGTTCTTGAGGGACATTGTGTTAAAACATTTGTTTTCCTGAAGTGGTTAGTCGGAACTTTCCTACAGTGCTGCCCAACTGCAGCAGGGTGAATAAAGAGGAGACAGAACCTGAAACTGCTTTGTCATTCTCTGTTTCTCCCTCTCTGCCTCTGCTGTGGTGTTTTGTACGAATCACAAAGGTCACAGCGAGAAGAATCCGGCTCTGATCACTGTTTCCGTCGGTTGTGAGCCTTTGCATTTTGTTGTCAAGGAAACATGACTGTGTTATCATAGTTGTCCTTCAGCGCGAGGACCTTGGGAGGATTCGAGGTCTGTTCTACAGTGATAGATCAATCACGTTGTCTTGACAGGAACACAGAGCGGGAGAGAAGAGAGAGGGAGTGTGTGTGTGTGTGTTTTTTCTGACTTACAGCACAAATATGGATGTGTGTGTGTGTTTGTGGATTCATTAGTGTGTGTTCTACCTCGCGGTCAGCCAGGTCAGCCTGCAGCAGGGAGACTTTCTCCCTCAGCTCTTTCAGCTCCTTTTTGCTGGACTCCATCTCGTCCCCCTTTTCTTTCTCCTCCCTTTCACGCTGGTCCTTCAACCGGTCGATGATTCGCTCCTGGATATGATGGAGGAGGAGGAGGAGGAGGAGGAGGAGGAGGAGGAGGAGAGGATGGAGGGATAGAAGGGCAGGAAAGGATAGACGAGAGAGAGCGAAGGAAGTGGAAAAAGGTAGTGGAGGTAGAGTCAGTGATGGAAAAAGAGCAACAGACAGAGAATAAAATCACCTCATACACTCCAGCAGTCATTCACAGTTACTCAGTATCAAGTTTCTATACTAATAACAGTCGCATTAAACTTTATGTACATGGCAGCTCTGACAGGATCTAACAGCCAACAGTGATTTGAGACGCGTAATATGTTTTGGCACGAGATGTAAAATTCACAACCACTAAAACACAATAGTCGATCTCTGTAGCTACAGAACAACACAGGGGCCAGTTCAAGCAAAAGTACAAAAGTTCACACGTACGAAAGCAACACAAAAAACCGAAAGGCTGTCTATCTTTGTGAGGACCGAGTTATGACACATTGGGCAGGGTTTAGTTGTATGTTTAAGGTTGGAATTAGGGGTATATAGTAGGGATGCACGATATATCGGAGATCATGTCGGTATTGGACGATATTTTTTTTCGATATATCGGCATCAGTCCGATGAACAAATTTAGCCAATGTGAAAAACCAGTGATTGTCTAACATTACTGCCTTTGTCTCTACATTCGATATTGCTGCTATTTCATCAATATTTTTAATTAAATGTTCCTGGACTTGAACGTTAAATATGTTAAAATATGTTAAAATATGTTTAAATATGCTTTACTTTGGTTAAGTAATAAAGAAGACTATGTGGTCTTACTTGGTATGGGCTTCTTGTGAATAGTCTTCACGTTCTCACGGTGCTTACTTATACTTATTCTTCGGTGTGAACAGAAATTGAATATCGACATCGGTAATATCAGTTATCGGCGATATCAGAAATCTTAATATCGGGTATCGGTATCGGCCAGAAATTTTAATATCGTGCATCACTAGTTTATAGTGATGATGTTCATTATTTTTCAATTTACCAAAAGTATTCTTAAGTAAACAATTGATTCATTTTTGGGCCAAAAAAAATTGTGTCGAGTTGTTCAAAACCAAAGCAATTCAGTGTTAATATGTCACATTTGAGAGGCTGGACCCAGAAAAATGTTTGCATTTTGGTTTTAATAAATAAAAAATCAACAATGAAAGCAGTTTTATGATTTTATGATAAACAACCACTCAGTTAAACTACTGTTTTTTTCTGCTCACATTAGAGTTCAGTTTGGGTTAAAGGTAAAGGAATGCAGTTTCTACTGCAGGGGTAGGGGGTTAAAAATGCTGTATATCCATGCTGTGTGTTCATGAAGCATTAAAATCATAGACTGTATAAAAGATGGACGTAGCTACCATGACGTCACCTGTTGGTTTCTGCACTGAGAAAATGAAGCCAGGGTTTTGCTACTTCCTGGTTGACATCTTGGATTTTTGGAGCCAGTGACGTAAAAATCGTCGGAGGGGGGCGGAGCCATAGGAGCAGTGATTGGTCAGACGGATTGAGAGGCGGGCCCTCTCTGCCCGCCCACATTTACCGCCTTCTGCTCGCTTCATCTGTATCGTCGCTGCCGACTGTCAATCAAGCCAGCCACGGCCCTTGCCCCGCAAAATGTTGACAATTTTTTAAAAATTCAGTATTGATTTATTTTCAGATTGGCCACCTGATCTCTGGACTTGACCATGAAAACTAATAAGAACAAAATCCTGAGCTGTAGGAATGCAGTATTTCGTGATCTGTGATCACTTCTTTTCCAATTCCAGTCTATGGGAGCCAGGGCTTTTTGGAGCCAGCAGCTAGTGGACGTAGGTTTTTGACACTTGGCTTCATTTTTTGGGGCCAGTTGCTACGTCTTTTATACAATCTATGATTAAAATACTTGAAAACATACATGTTTATAATGACTCTTTACATATACTGCATGAAACTTTTCCTTATTTTGCTTTGAAATGTATCACTCACGATGCAAAAAACAGTATGTTTCAGAAAAAGTGCTAAAAAAAGAAAAGAAAGCAGGAAAAGGAGGCAATGATGGAAACAGAAGAAAGCTACAGACGAAATATATCAAAAGGCACCAAAACAATAAAAATGAAGGGAGGAGAAAAAAAAGCTTGTGAAAGTTGTTTGAGTGAAGCAGGAGTCGTCGGCTGCATTGCGCTGCCAACACTCACACATCTAGCTGACACCCAAAATATTAGTCACTGGACAATTAATAGCCCTGTTTCCTGTGCGTGTGCAAGCGCAAAGGAGATTGAGTTGGTAACATAATCACGCACAACAGTACGAAAATATATTCTCATCAAACACGTTGAGGCGGTTCGCTGGTGTAAGTGTCATTGGTTAGCTTCCCAGATTCAGGGTCGAGTCCCCGCAGAGAGCAGCCTAGAAGAACCATAAAACAGGAGGTTCTGTGATGTTTTGTGGCTGAACGTTCAGACCAAACAGCGACCGATGAGCTACTCCGAGCCATGTGGCTGCGTGTTGGACAGTTCCTAATCTTTTATGAACACAGGCTGTGAACGATTTAATAATGAAACAGCCAGTGTGATTATTGGTTCATTTCCATTTATCCAGAGTCATTTGGTCATCGCGTGGGTGGTCGGCGGTTTTGCTCATAGAGGTTTTATTAATGTAACCTTGCTCGAGAGTTGACCTGAGGTTGACCAGCGATGGGTGGACGTGCTGTGTGTGTGTGTGTGTGTGTGTACCTTCTCGGCCAAAGCCTCCTCCAGTGTTCCCAGTGCAGTGTCTGTGTTGGAAGTGTCCGTCTGCAAAGACTTGACTCTGTCTTTCAGGCCGCTCAGCTGTTTCTCTTTATCCCGCAGCTGATCCTGGAGGTTCTCTATCTGCACAGACAAAAGAACAGAAACACTCATCAGCTGTGTTGTTTTTGATGTATAATTCACCTGCTGGCCACTGAATGATATGTTCTTGGCAGGTTTATGCAGTCAGACGCAGCCAAAATAAAGTAGCGGAGCAGGTGCTACGAAATAAAGCTACATGATGCTGAACTTGTGCACATGAAATTTTAAACACCAACTATAAACAACAGCCGATAAAAGGAACAAGACTCAAAGATACCAAAGTGAAGTCTATAAAAATTAAAACTTTTTTGTTTTTTCCAGTTATACACTGCAGTAAACTAAGCATGGATTACGTAGTGTGATACAGGTAAGCTGTATTCTGAACAGACATTTATTTAATGTTCTACTTTTGCTCTTTTGTTTATTGTAACTGTATGTTTTTATAGTCTGGAAAATTATATATGCAGATACCGGTTCATCTATAAAAAGCTTTGTCATATATTGTCTTAAAAACGCTGCCTGGTTGACGCTCACTTGTAACAGTAATAAACTATAAAGGTTTAGATTATTTATTTAAATAAATCTCAGCAGTTTCTGGGCATGTTTTGTTGCCGTCACATTTTTACTCGCTGTGGGCTTTTGTCTTTGTTACAGCAATAAAACACAGTGGTAGTAATGATAAGAAGAAAGGACAAAAAGTATGTACTGTACATATTTTATCACTTTAAATTGTTTTTTGGGTTTTTTTTTTGCCACCTATGAGTTTTCAGTTACGTCAAGGAGGGCAGAATTTTTAGTTTAGTTTAGTTTTTTGTTTTTGTTTTGTTTTATTTACAAAATCTGTTGAGAACCAACATTTTATTTGTTGGGCAATTTTTAAAAGAGTGGAATAATGGGATGTTGATGATTTTTCATTTTAGTGATTTTAAGCTTAGAAATGTGATGCAAGGACCATCTGATGTTAAAAATCTGACTTTTTTTTCTGTTTTTCAAACCAAGCTACTTGTTTCTGGGTTCTGGAAGTGAGTTACACATTAATAAAATCAACTTGACAATGCAATAATAGAATCATATAACAGATATCTAAATGTGAGACATAAGGCCTGTTTGATTTAAGGGCATGTTGTTTGTGACGCCACTCATGTTAGATCTCCATTTGAAGACGACTTGAGCTAACAAGTGAACCTACTCTTTTTCACATCCATTAGTTTACCTGACAGCCATTAAACATTCACACAGAATAACACCTAGAGCTTTTTTCCCATTGTATTTTCCATTTCTCTCTTCTGCATTCCTTCTGTTTTCTATCCTGTTTCCTCTCAAAGCAGATGAATTCTACATTCTAAGTCTCTGCTTGCTATTATGTCAAACAATCTCTTGTAAACGGGCCCTAATGTAATTCCGTCTACAAATTTCAGCGCATAAAAAAAAAAAACTGAGCGTTTCTGTCAAATATAAACTTTCTCACTAAGCTGTGCTACCTTTAACCCTTTCTCTAAATACACACTCTCTGCCTCCCCCTCTTTCTCCCCGTCTCTCTCTCCCCCCCGTGTCCTCTCACAGCGATTTGGTAGCAGATTCATTTTCTGTTAAAACACCAAATCAGCAGAAATAACTGAAGGAGTCACTCTTTCCCTGAACCCACAAAGTGTGCGTATGTGTGTCTCTGTGCATGCACATATGTGTGTTTGTACTTGTTCGTCTATCCATGTGAGGACCAACTTGACTTTTAGACATTGCCAAGTGAGTACAGTTTTGGAAAGTGAGTCCTCGCTTTAGCATGAACCATTCAAGGCTGTTTGAGGGTTCAGACTTGGCTGCAGAGTTAAAATTAGGGAGAGTTGTGGTGGTTAAAGTTGGGGTAAGGGGCTAGGGAATAAATTATGCCACTGAGGGTCGAACACAAAGAAGTACAAGCTTGTGTGTGTGTGTCTGTGAGAGAGCGAGAGAGATCTCAGACAAAGATAAGGAGTTATGTCAACTTTGTGGTGTTCATTAAGAAAAGAAGGGAACAAAAGGTTGACCAGTACAGAAATAAGGCATTGAGGGGAGAGGAAAGACATGGGAAGCGTATTTAAAGTTCCCATATTGTGCCTCTTTTCAGCAAATTAATGAAAGTCTCACATATCCACAGAATGTGTCGTTCATTTCTTTTTAGCTCAAAATACTGCAAAGATATTTCATTTTACCATGACGGTGTAACTTCAAGTTTTAGTTTGTGTAGCTTTGAATGCTGTCTGCTCTACACTTGAGGAAGAAGACTCTCTCTGCACCTGTGATGCCATTGACACAGACAATAACTGTGAGTGTGTGAAACCAGGACTTACTGTCACTTCTAACTTTCTCTCTGAGTGATAATTTTACATCATAATTTGCTGAATTCACAGCACAGCCAATGTTTTAAAGTAGGGTTTGGTGAGTTTGTCAGAGCAGCATCGTGGTAATGGCTCTGATGTGACTACAGTTTAACATGTAGTCTCATTGGGTAAAGTGTTTTAGATACGATTTTATACTCATTCCATTGTCTGACAACAGAAACAGAAAAACATATAAATGACAACACCTTTATTGGGAATTCGGTGGTATTAAAATGCAGTTCATGTGAGCACAGAGAGCAGGAGAGAAGCAAACAGATGTAAACACTGGCTGAGTTTCAGTGAAGCACAGCAGGTGACACGAAAACATAGCAGCCCACCAAGTCCTTGTTTATTGGTTTCAAATTGGTCTTAAAGTTTCCACTATTTCTCAATGTCCCTCAGCTTTACAGTTTCCACAGAGATCTGACCTGCGAACGTACGATCAAAACTAATGTGAGCACGAGCAACATTAGCCCACAACATGCTAACTCTACGAATTTTCTGCTTGTTGCGGTGAAATTGTCATCAAAAATAAAAGTAATCCAAGAGATCTTCAGGTCCTCAGATGCTGGGAGTGCATTAAGACTCTTTTGTTCGCTCTTGCAACCAACAGCAGTGTGCTTTGCTTGTGGCTGAGACATTTTAGAGTTAGCAGAAGCAGCTCTGGAAAGAAAACAAACCTGTGAGGCAGCTGTGCTTTTGGACTGATTCACCTAGTGGCAGTGGGCAGTGAGAGGGCAGGATTAGGAAAAGTTTGAGCAGTTCACTGAAATTCTTAGTGGCCTGTAAAGCTCTCTAAAAATCCTAATATCTTAACAGCTCTGACTTTCCATTTCCGAGTTTATAACAACCACAAAAAACAAAAACAACGCATTCTCACCACATGGGACCTTTAATCTGTGAGCTTGGATGGTAAAAGTTGCAAAATTTCTGTTTCTCTGTCCCTTCTTTTGCTTGAGAGAAAGGAAATCAAGTGATTGACAACCTCTGGCTAAAAAAAAGAAAGTCAGATTGGTATGTAACCTTTGACTCCACTGCAGGTGAGACACACACATTTACAGAACTGCGGAGAGTGCGAGTGTGTGTGTGTGTGTGTGTGTGTGTGTGTGTGTGGGTGCGCTCATACAGTAAAACATTTCCAGCACCTCATTAATCAACCGTTGACCTGACAGCTTGACTGACACATCCTCCTCCTCACTCGCTCGCCCTCACGCACACACACATGAACGCACACACTTGACATTGAGAGGCAGCGAGACGCTTTGATCCCGTCTGCATTTCCTGAAACTGACAACTGCTGGATGGCTCACACACACACACACACACACACACACACACACACACAGACACACATGTACATAAGCGCACACACACTCATTGCCGTCCTATTTTAGTCCCAAAATTGTCTGTGATAATGAACTGGAATATGTTAACAAAACAACAACCAGCTGAGCTTTCTCCTCCTCTAGGTCACAGTGTTCCTTCACAAATAACAGAAGATTGCGTTTAACAACAAAGCGAAGGCAACGACGGGAGATCACGTAAATACCTTCGCCATTAATCGTTAATATAGCCTCGCTGGTCACAACAAACGCCAGACAAAAACACGAGGAGGAGAGGATGTATTTTTAGCTTATGTGCTTAAAAAACAGGGGCAAGAAATTAGGAAATCAAGCTCAGATGAGATCAAGGAGGAGTCAGCAGCCTCCCTCTCAGACACCGGACTGTATTCTATTTGAAGACGCCAGAGGTCATCATTTATTAAACAAGAGGAACTCATTAGTATGCATCTGAATTTAAACACACCCTGTCTCTCTCCTCCCCCTCCCCGTCTTGCTTTATGTCTGTCTGCTTGATTGTCTTTATCAATTATCTGCACGCCGTCTCTGCGATAGACAACTAGTGGGACAGGGAGAGGAGGAAAAATGAAGAAGTTGAATTGTTGGCTGTCATGTTTGCACTTAATTTGTAAGATGTTGCTGTCTAAATGATTGCCAGACTCCTTCCTCAGCCTGCATCCATCCTATCTAGTGTTCAAAACCGCTACAGTGTGTGTGTGTGTGTGTGTTATTGCCTCCTCTGCTTCTCTTTCTGAAAGCACATATCTGACTAACTCCTGTCAGGATGACAGTGGATTGTGTGTGTGTGAAGCAGACAGCAAAGACAAGAGGTCACTCCGGCCCATCCATCTAACTGACAGCATCGCCCCAGAGATACTCACACACAAAAGTACATATTGAAAAGTGGGGAAAATATTCAGAAAACATCAGTGACTCTGGTTTCCCGAGTACCTACATTATCTGTCTTCCTGCTCATCTGTCTCCCTGAGCGTCTGTCTGCTTCGGCTTCAGCCTACTCACTGTCTTACAGCCCCATCTAGTGGTGAAAGCTTCACATGACGACACATTCTCAGCACAAGCGAACTTCTATCAGCATGAATGAGCTTGAGAGACGGTGAGTTATGAACTCAAAGCAGTTTCTCAGCTTTTCTGTCACATTTTACTCATTATTGGCTCATTTCTTACTACAATATAAAGTCCTGCACCTCTACAGAAACAGCACAACCATGGCTAGAAGTAGAGAGAACTTATAAATGTTTTCTGTGCAGTAAGACAAAGTAAAAGAAAAAAAAGCTGAATGTCCTTGATTGTTTATCTTGCAAAAATTTAAGGAAAAAAAATGGAATCAACAACTTTGAGTGCCTGCAGTTCGGCTAAGAAATCCTTGAATTCTGAATTTTTCTTTTTTACAGATTCTGGTACGACCAAACTATTTGTTTTAGGCATTTTTTTAAAAATGGCACATGTAGAAAAACATATTTTGTATGAAATATCACTTTTAAGTTTAATTTCCCAACAAAACACTACATCTCAGCTGAGTAGTTCAAGGAAAGGAAAGGAAAGTTGAAAATCAGATGATTAAATGAAGAGTTCATTTGCAAGAACAGAAAACCTCGTCTTCACAAACCTTTAGAAAACCCACTTTTCCATCTTGTACCTGAGACAATATCAATCAAACTTAAGTTATCTCTATTTTTTTCATGTCATTTCTACTGAGTCAAATCCACTCAACTTCAGTTTTATTGATATCATCTCAAGCAAACAACAACAACAAAAAGTTTTCTGAAAATCTACAACAATGGAGTTACCTGTTTCTACAGGTTGTTGCTCTGACAAATGATGGCAATTTTTAAAAGATAAAAAGCAGCCGTAGGAAGTGCGGTGTAACAAAAGCGAATATAATCTAAAGTCTGCTCACCTTCTTCTGCAGGACGTTGACTTTGCGTTCCTTAACGTCCAGCATGTCTTTAAGGTCAGTGATCTCTCCCTGCTGAGTACTTTTCTCCTCCGTCAGCTCTGATATTTGCTGACTCTTTTTAGACAAAAGAGATTCCTTTTCTTCCAGACGGAGACGCAAAGCATCCACCTGCATATAGACACATGTGTTCAAGTCAGGGGAGATAAATATTCACAAACTAAACATCAGTGATACCATGCAGCAAAAAGAAATGTATAGAAACAGAGGATGTGAACCTCGGTCTGCAGTATGGCAGCTCTCTGCTCCTTGGCAGTGAGGGACTCCTTGAGCACATCCACGTGTTGTTTACTGTCAGAAAACTGGTTGTTCAGAGTGTCCAGTTTGGTCCTGAGACCCAACAGCTCGCTGTCCTTACGACTCAGCTCCTGCTTGGCCTGTTCAATCTGAACAACACAAACACAACATAAACACAGAGCGGGACACGGACAGAAGAAAGATCCAGTCAGAATGTGTACTGGAGAGCATCACATGCTTTTTTATGACATATTTATGTATTAAAATCCACTACTAGCTTTACAAAGTGAGCGCTCGTTCTACGGTGGGTGTTAAGGTTTTAGCTATTCCTCCAAACTACAGAAGACCAGCTGTGACAGAGGAAATATGAGCGATAATAAGCAGTGGACAGAAATGACTGGTAAAGCTTTTAAGAGACGAATTTTGAATTAGAGTGCAATGCGTCATCTCTGCTTTACAACTGTATTTAGAGTGGAAGGAACATTTACGGAGCATGGCAGACATTTCTATTACATACACGTTAACCCTCTGTACCTCAAAACCCACCAGCGAGTTTGAAATGTGTTATAATGAAGAAAAAAATGCCACCACTTATCAGAGCCAGAAACTGTGAAAGACTGTCAGATTGTACCATTTGGTTGATATTGTTTTATTCTACATGTCTCATTTTAAAATATGACAAAAAACAAACAAGATTCTGTAAAAACTGCAGTTCTGGTGCAACTGTGAAGCCATTAGTGACTCAGTTGCAACGTGACAAAAAATCAGGGCTGAACTGCAGGCTGTGTTTCCATAAAACAGAAAGGAGGCCAATATAGAATCAAATTAAAACTGTGAGGTAAAATATCTACAGTGTGTAAAGTCATCTTCTGTTTCAGTATTGGTAAGATGTGGGGACACTTAGAAAAGTTTTGTACATCATGTTTTCAATTTTTTGTAAAATAAATAATTAGAAAAATCCATTTTTATTTATTTATTTTTTATTAAACGATTTCTGACATTATAACTATGTCATTCTCTCTCCTTCTCCATGGTTGTGTTGTTTCCACAGAGGTGCAGAATTGTATTTATTGCAGTGAAATTGAGCCCACAGTGAGAAAAACAGTGAAAGCATTAAAAAAACTGCTGGGCTTCACAGGGTTAAAAAGCAGAGCCAGCTGCTGGTGGTGACTGAGCACTGGGCTGCTAAGTGGTGTTCACTGCCTTGCTCAAAGGGCACAAGCTAGTAGTTCTTTAAAGAAAATATGATATGTTTGTCATAGGCCTAATTTTTTCCAATAAAATTTGAAAATAAAGAAAAAAAACAACAACATTATTTTACACTGTTAATTGCAGTGTGCATAATGTGGAAGTGGCCTTCTACAACGTTTACTGTGTCAGTTAATGAAGTTAATATAATCTACACACAATGGGAACCTTTTAAGAAGAAAAAATAAAAATAAGAGAAATTATTTTTCAATTTCTCTCCTGAAAAGCAAACAACAGTTAGAAACACGTGGAAGTCAGTGCAGTATTAAAGTTGATATTTCTCAGCTATGTATTGGTGCTAAAGGGTTGGGGTCAATTCTTTCAGCCCTCAATTATCATAATAATCCAATAAATGTAATTCTCTTGGCATTATGTTCTGTGACTTTAACACAAAATATAGAAAGAATGGACCCAAACCACACAGCGCTCATATGAAAACCAACCCAAGCAAACCCCTTTAGCTAAAGGATCTAAGCCAGTAGCTGAGAGAATCCTCATGCAAGAAGGAAGAGAAACAGGTTAGAAATACACAAACTGTAGCACAGCACAGCTGGAGTCTCTGCTGCAGTTCTGTGATTTGATGTTCGGACTGCTAGAAACAACTATATCCTGTCAACAGCCACTGAATGGAAAAGAAACGGCCTCCTGAACTGTGTGAGGAAATTTACCTGACTGTGAAAACACATCTTTGGAGAAGGTCATACATTTTCCTAACACTCAGATATGAACATGTTTTTCACTTCACTTTAGGCTTCTGTAATTTCCCAGGCCCTGCTTTGTTTCATTAAGTTGCAGGAAGATGATCAATGTGTGCAAATTTGACTGCTTGATTGACAATATGATGCTAAAACAACGACAATATCTCACAGCAGAGCAACAGAATTTACTTCATGACTGGATACGTTGCTCTCAACATCTCAGATAATACAGTTGTCAGCTGTTGTGTGGACTGTGGACATTTGAGTTGTTATGCTGCTGTCAGAACACGGTGATTCTACTGGGATTCTACTGGGAGTCCGCTCAAGCAGCGTCAGCCCGTCCGGAAAGAAAGAAAGAAAGAAAGAAAGAAAAAGACAGAGCAAACAGACACCGAGGTGCGTCTCTTACTGCAGACACCTCCTGCTGAAGCTCACTGACTCGTTGCTTTAGCTCCTCCTTCTCTGACTGGCTGTGAGTTAGCTCTTCCTTCAGCTGCTCAACCTGGCAGGAGAGGAGGGCGTCACCACGGGGGGGCTTTACGTTAGACTAGCACGGCTCCTCCCTTGTGTTTCTTCCTCGCATCTTGCCGGCAGGGAAGCGAGATGTGAGGAAGAGACACAAGATTTCCAGCTACTCCCGACACACAGCGTATCAGCGGTCAGATTAATACATGAACATCAGTGACAACAACATGTGACAGACAGAAATAACACACATAAACAATTACATCTTTTTAAAAAATCAGATGTGACGGAAGAAATCAAAACATGTAAATATTCTGAATAAAATCTATTGTTATTACTAGTTTATTAAAGATCACAGAATCCGATTCAGCAGCTGAAATCATTGAAGTTATTGATCTCAAATCGCCACCAGCGTTCTGCTCGACCGACTCTGATTTGCTCAAAGCTTTTTTAAAAAATTATTTTAAACTACAGATATTTAAAAAGGTATCTGTGAGATTTTAGATTGACATATCAAAAACATTCCAAGATACATTTCAGCAACCTTTTTTTCACACATTGAAATTTACGGCTATGTTTCAATGACAATATCAAAAAATATTAACAATAAAAACCTGAAATTGTCATTGTTATTTCTCATGATACTTAACAAGCATCTTTATTAATATGGGTAATTTATGCTATAAAATATTTAGGTAAATCAGAGACAGTCGTGCAGAAATTGTTGTAAAAATTTGATGATTTCAGATGTTAGTTTATGAATAAACATGAATAGCATTAAAGCGCTTGCTGGAACTGACAGTCCTGTTTCCACCTCAGGTATTTTACAGTATTACAAACTTCTACAAACGTTTTACTCTCCTGTCTGCTTTCTAAGATCGTCGCTGTCTGGTAAAAACACATCAGATACACCTGAGCCTCCTCACCTTCCTAAAAAATGTATGTAAAGGACTGATGAAGCAGTCAGATAAGCAGAATGGAGGGAACACCAGGACTACAACAAACAAACTCTGGCATCTGAAAAGTACTTTGGTCTGTTGCTCTAAATGTGCTACAGAAATAACTGTGGCTTGTTTTGACCTCAAAAGTAATGCATATCAGCCACCTACATGTTCTTGTACAGTGGCATAACTTACTTAGCAGTTGTCACTCGTCATCTTTCTTTTGACTACCAAATTGTACGCTTGTTGTTGAGCCATAATTCAGG